TATATATATGCATATAGTGGACGAGGTTTAGTTTACTTCCTTGAAGGTATCAGAACTTCATTTGAACCAAAAGGCATAAATTTAGGCCCTGTAAACGTAGAGTTCAACGATCCATTAACAGGTAGGGACAGAACCGAACTGGCGGTCAAGTAACGTCGGTAACTCGCTGTCCATTCCAATCCCCTGTCCCTTCGATAAACTTTCAGTCGTGTTTTTTAGCCGTCAGTCTTGGCACATGCTTTGTGTGATCGATTTTTGGATGTCCAATCGGCTGCCAGAGCGCCCTTGTAATTTTACAAATTGATCGTTAGTTGACGGTTTTCCTTGAAAAGCAAGGTTGTTATTCTTTTTTTAAAAAGCGCCTGCGATAGGCTATTGCCAAACCGACCGTAGGCGTTTTTTGACTTTCCGTCGATTGGGCTCTCTAAGTAGTGTCCCACGAATGCGATTGTAGAGTGAATGAGTAAAGGTCGTTTTGATAGAAGCGAAAAGGCGAGTTCCAGAAGCAGTTGTGAAGAATGAGATACGATGATTAGAACAAAACGTTGAATCACCCGACCTTTCGGATTCTTACTCGATTCTAGCCCCAGAGACCATTTCAGCTGTTATGAGGAGCCATCTTAAGCGGCTCGCTCGCAAGTAGCCCTTACGGCTTGATCACACGCCACGCTATCGATCCGTCCACATGCCTTACGCGTGATGATGTCGTGCGAGTTGTCGTCAAGATTACAGCTCTATCCAGCCAGTCAGATGCGTGAGACATCTAGTCGAGATGTTAACCCTTCAAGGCCACTACCTGATTGTTCCGGTTGCAGTCCGACCTTTTGCATGCGCGCCTGTTCCTTTTTTGCTTTGGATGAGCCGTTATAGTCTGTCCCTACACTTACAGCGGAATGGAATTGTAAAAGGGTCCACGGAAGCCCTCCACATAGGCGGGAAAAAGTTCCCAAACAAATGTAGGGCGGCACAATGATTAACCAAGACTCCTACGGCTGTGTCTTACAATGGCCCATCTGTTCGGGCTTTTGAGTAATATCTGTGCTGAGGGTGGATTAAATCATTAAAATTGCTATGTACAGCTGACAGATGATGAATCGTACACGAGTACTCCACTGAAGTTCATGAAACTAGGTTCACGAATGTACGTTTACTTTCATGGATACTGAAAATGCGTGTTCCAAGGTATAACTGCAACTTCCCAGTACCAGTTATTTCACAGGCCCGCTAGAAGGCGTAGTGCCGACTGCGACCGAGGACATGAAGGACAAATAAGTAGCATCACCGTAAAAGGGTCATCTTTTATTTTAGAACAGCAAAATGAAAATACATTTACCGCAGAAGCGGGTATAAAAGTTCTAAATCTGAAAAATCTATTCCCAAAAAGGATTTAAGGAGCCCTGAGTGATATAGTGAGCTGAGTCGCCGGTAGTCGCAAGATCTACAACTCCCTCCGCTTCTTGGCCTGAGGTTTGGCAGCTCGTAGCCACCCGATTATGCTAGGTGATGCATTAGTCTTCTTATTGGATGAATTGTATGGCGTATCTGTCTCCCTATTGGATGAATTGTGTGCCGTATCCGTATTGGATGAACTGCTAGCAGCTGTCCGGCGTGCATCGTAAGCGGCCTTCATCTTGACGAGATTGGCGGCCCTCATCTCCTGGTGATCAACAATTGGTGCCGCATAGTCGACCCCGACAACACAGCCAGCCTTCTCTTGCACTGCCAACGGAGCTGTCCAGGGTGCGTATATGTATTGCTTGGGCATTTTTTTCAAACAGGGCAGAAAGTGTCTGATGAAGCTGCAATAACGATGACCAAAATGGATGGGTACGATAAATGGCGAATTCAAGTGGCGCAAATTTACGGAAATACCTAACAACCAAAAAACAGCAAAACGGATTGCTAAGGCACTCAAATAAGCATTAATGATCCTGTTACAAGAAAACGCACATTAATACAGAAGTATTTTTCTTTGAAATAGCAATCATCAAGGCGAGTGGAATTGCCCATAAAACAAATATTCAGGTCTGGTAGAAGCACGTGATGCATGTCTACGTGAATAGGTACGATAGGTGAGGTAATTTACGCAAAGTCATGATAAAAATTGGACTTGGTAGTTTGGCATACATTTGATCACGTTATTTTGCCCTAATGAGTGGATTTGATCCTAAAAAAGGCCTTTAGGTAAGGAATATTGCCTGTCTAGTTCAGTATACCTAGGAGTAACACGAAGAATTTTAGCGATATCAGGGGTTGCCTGATATCGAACAGATTTCGTATGCTATTTAACGTGACAGAATCAGAGCTATTATTTTGTGTGTTATGCTATGGCAGAACACCAATATATGAAAGAAAATACATCCCTTCCAGACCAGGAAATTCTAGTCTAATTTGACATAAATCAGGTGAAGCCCATTTTAAGAAATCGCATTCTCTTCTAGAAACAAGATAAATTCAGTTAAGGAATTATTTTTTACCAGTGTCTTAGGATGCTTGTCACAAAAACGCAGTAAAAATGTTCTGGCCGTATTTTGTTTTACCGCATCGAGGATTTTGGACGTAAACAACAAATGCATTCAGTTTATCGTGCTCATGAAAGTAAAAAATAATTTTACTACATCTAAAACATGTAGTAAGATAGATTTTTCTACAGCATAATTTCCGCTTACGCGTACGTTAGAAAAACATCGGACAGAATATTAACGCGGAACTTAATTGTTCCTTGACTAGATCGGCGAATCACTTTCATTCATTCATATATATATATATAGGAACTTAATTGTTCCTTGACTAGATCGGTGAAACACCTGCATTCATTCAGAATATTAACAGTTTTCGCAAACTCTTCGTGTATATTCGACCGGTCTCTTTTGCATTTGCAATCTTAGAACAGCCCCAAAAGTAATCAAGCATGGTGAAAATGCTCCGATATAAAGATAACAGTAAGTCTTTTCACTTGTGACCAAAACTGTATCATTCGTATTCGGTTAAATTTAAAAATTTGACAAACTTCTCTATTTTCACGTTGACTAAGTGGGAAAAAGGTAGCATGCACGGATATTCCTCAGCCGAATATCTAATTAAAATGCTTTTTAAAGAGGTGACCCGTTTTATAAAGTCTTTAATTGATCTTAGGCATAACAGTCTCAGACGTCTGTTGTGGGCGTTCTTCGTACTCAACAATGAGTTTTGGTGCCTTGCATAGTGTAAGAATATGGCCAACATGGCTATCTTCATCAGAACTTATATTCAAAAGTCACGCTTTGGTAAACGCTTTTACGAAATATATCATTATTAGGTTTGGCAGATTGACTTAATTCGAGCTGACCCAATTGTGAAAAAACTCGAGGCGTTCGGCTGGATTTGAACCCCATAGTAGATACGACCTTTACCAGAGGCCAAAGTTCTAACCAATTGAGCTACAAACGCCCCACCTG